AGGGTGGGAGAGGATGAGGGATGGGAGAGAATGGAGGATGGGAGGGGATGGGACACAGGACAAGACGGGACGGAGGATGGGGTGAGATGGAGGACGGGATGGGCTGAGGGATGGGATGGAGGATGGTACGGGATGAGGGGTGGGATGGGCTGAGATGGAGGATGGGATTGGATGAGGTGTGGAGGACGGGATGGTTGGGGGACGGGATGGGACAGGGCAGGATGGGATGAGATGGAGGATAAGATGGGATGCAATAGAAGATGGGATGGGGTGGGATGGAGGATGGGATGGGATGGGAGGGAATGGGATGTGACGGAGGATGGGATAGGATGGGGGGGCTGCATGGGCCCGCCCATGTACTGTCCGCTCCTTAACACACCGCCCAGTCATAACCTGGAGATGAAGCACCTGCCCGGTGCTGACCCCGAGCTTGTGCTCCTCAGCCACCGATACGAGGAGCTGGAGGTGAGCGGGCAGTGCGGCACCCGCCACTGCAGCAGGGTCCGGGTTGGTCGGTGCCCCACGGGCGCCGGGCTGCAATCCCTCTCCGTGTGCAGAGAATCCCCCTGAGCGACATGACCCGGGAGGAGATCAACCAGCTGGTGCAGGAGCTGGGCTTCTACCGCAAGGAGACGCCTGATGCCCCCGTGCCTGAAGAGTTCCAGTTTGCCCCTGCCAGGCCTCTGCCCACCCTGCTGCCCCATCAAGCTCCCGCTGCTGATGGCAAGACCCCACCTGAACGTGATGAGGGAGAACACCCAGACCTCTAGCGAGGGGTGCTGCGCTCAGGAGAGGGTCCGGCAGCCAGTCCCCAGCGCATGGGGACGAGGGTGTTACAGCAGGTGGGAACAGCACCGCGGGGTGGCAAAGGTGCCCCTGCTGTTGTTTGGTGCTGTGTAGCCTCTGCCCCGAGGATGCCCTGAGCAGCTCCAGCCTTGAGCAGGGGCTTCCTGGGCATTGCGGACATCCCGGGGGTCCCGTGTGCCTGTTGTTGCCCTCCCTTCCCTGCAGCCCGGCATCCCCGGACAGTTGGGAGGAGCGGCATTCTTTGTGCTCCCTCACCGTGCCCTGAGATTTAGCTGACTCCCCGCGCTGGGCAGTGGTATCCTACCTGTGTGGGACAGGATGAAACCCTCAGCAGAAAGCCCCAGGTGCTGAGGGTAGATGTGCTGAGTCCCAGAGGTGGGAGAGCTGCCCCCGGGAAGGGTATGGCTTTACACCCCAGCAGGGTTGCCTCGTATCGAGCCCCCAGTAAAGCCCTTGCATACAATTGGCTGCACTGTGTCGTCTTTCCAGGGAGGGCTGGGCTCGGTGCATCCCACACTGCTCTGTACTGGGTGCTGGGAGGAGCTGGGTGCCCCAGAGCTGCTCGCAGAGGCAGGAAGGGATGGCAGGGTCATAGCCACTGCTGGCAAGCTGACAAACGATTCCACGGGCCAACCATGGTGTTCCTGTGCCACCCCCTCCCCGGTGCGATGGATGGACGGGGCACCACGGCTTGGGATGAGCTGCTCTCACAAGGCGCAGGGGGATGGGTACGAGCCCACGAGTGGGTCCTGCAGTGCTGAGCCGAAGCCCAATGGCTGCGCTGGCTCAGCAGGGACATCTGGTCCGTGGCCGGGGGATGGAGCAGGGCACAGCTGTGCCGTCTGCAGACCTGGCTCTGTGCAGCCAAGCCCAATGGCTGCGCTGGCTCAGCAGGGACATCTGGTCCGTGGCCGGGGAATGGAGCAGGGCACAGCTGTGCCGTCTGCAGACCTGGCTCTGTGCAGCCTTGGTGGCCGCGTGGGGGTCTTCTCCACGTACCAAGCTTGGGGGGGGCAGGGGGCAGCGAACCAACAGCCTTTGGTCGGGGTGGGATGCCGATGGTGCCCCTGGGCTTCGGGCATCAGAGCAGGACCTGCCCCACATCTCCCCCCC